TTCCTATCAATACTTAGTAAATAAGCTACCAAACAATAGAAAGGTACATATAGCTATTTTTTCAAATGCTTCTTCCATGTTAGTTATGCATATTTTTAAATGTAGAAAAAAAAAGTTAAAACTTCTATCTTAATGAAAAAAAAATTAAAAATTCAGAAATCTGAGCAGAAATCAAATACCAAAAGCCAGCCCTATACAATCAGAAATCTAGACTTGGTGGGGGTGAGAGAGAACTGGAGAGAATATACCAGAGATAAACACAAGTAATCACAGCAATTCTTGCTTTTAGGATCTTACAAATTAAGCATACCTTCAGTGACAGTTCCCTACACAAAGCTTGTGAAATTAAGTGTTCAGAATTCCTCTTCTCATTACAAAGGATGTACTTCATATTTGTCAGGTGGTAACTACTCAACTCCTTTTTCTGACTGCCTTTAAAGCACCAGGAAACTCAAATTCATAATACACACAATACATAAACTGTGGAAGTTACCCTGTTTGAGTAAAGTTTTGTGTTACTGTGTTAGAACTTCTGGATCAATATTATTTTTGCTGAACAAGGCAGGAATTTAAAAAAAAAATCTTTTGGAAAAAAATAAAAATTATTGGATTGCTACACATAATAAAAACGCCCTCAAAACAAACCACACACACTCTAAAAATGTTCCCGAGTTGCATGCCAGACTTACAGAATAAATTTAGGCCAGTACCAAGCACTCATTTCTTCCCCATGTGTAAATGCGACACAATCAGGCCTCACATGCAGGCCTCTCTCTCCAATACAGGCAGGACCTTTGTTCGATACGTCGATGTTTTTCCCCCAAAGCCCTTGACATAACTTTCCATTCTTTCCCCTATTATTTTCCGGTTCACAGTCTAGACTTTCGGACTCCCGTTCTGTGAAAACCCCTGGCTGTCGAGAAAGCCAGTGCACTCGGAAGGGGGGGGGAAGGGGGAACAATAAAAAAGTTGAACAGCAGGAAGACAGGCCTACAGGTCTGGCGAAAGCCCCGGTATCGGTTTGTTTCCTAGCCCCAGAGAACCAGAGCATTTACCAGGAGGCAGCTGGCGTCGGTACTAACGGCACCTCAAACTTCTCGCGCTCCCCAGCCCCCCGGGGAAGGGGGAAGGAGGAAGAGCCAGGCAGGAAAGGGAGAACCCAGCGTTTGATCAGCCTCCAAGTACGACGCATTATGCAAGCAAACGCGAGGACCAGGCAACTTGCTTTTTGATGAAAAGCAACAAAAACATCAGTTCTAAAACGTTAACGGCGAAACCAACCCCTTTCGTGGGCAGCCGACACTAACTCCGACCCCACAGGCGCCTCCATTCTCTTCCCACCTTCTTCCTCCACCTCCCCACCACCACCACCACAGGCTTGTGAAATATGGACGTCGGCCGATTATTTGGCATTTTTATCGAGCTGGGCAGGGGGGAAGGAAAGAGAAGTTGCTATTTATTTTTCTTCCTTTAAGATATTCAATAGCTCCTTCGCGACACCCCCCCCCCCAAAAAAAAAAAAAAATAAAAAAAGAGCCATTAGGGAAAAGGGGGCCAAGCGGAGTGGGGGAGAGAGAAGACGGGGAAGGGCATACAAATCGGTACGGCAGTATCAACATCGACACTGCCCTTTTGTATCAGCAGCTACACAGGGCTTCGAACGGGGAGGCCGCGCTCCCCCCACCGCCAGGCAGCCCAAGCGAGGCGAGGCGATGCGGTGCGCAGCGAAACGGGATGTCCCTCGAACGGGCCCCGGTGACTGCCTGGCCATTTTGTCAGCACCATTTCCACCCCTTCCCTCCTCCGCGAGGGCTCTCTCCCCTCGCCCCATTACACACCCCAGGCCCCACACACACACACTCACCAGCGCGACGTTGTGTCGTCCCCGTCTCCCTCCCGCCTCCCCATCCGCAACAATGCTCCGGGATGGCGCTACTCCCCTCCCCCTGCCCCGGGCCGCCAGGAAGGGCAGCTCGGCTAACGCCGGGGATGACACAACAGGCCCGGCCCGGAGGCTGCCGAGGAACCAAGCACCGCACTACACCACCCCCACAACGCCCCCTGAAACAGCAGACGGGCCCCGGGTACCTAGTTTGTCCCGATACGGCCTCCGCACACTCGCTGTGCCGTGCCTCCCCTCCTCCCGGCAGCAACCGCCTCTCTTCCCTTCAATTATCAGCTGAAGCCGCAGCACCGAGCAGCGCCGCCTCCGCCGCCGAACCCCTTCCAACAGCGCGAGGGGGAGGCTAGGGGACTACTTTTTCCCAGCGCTGGGGCCCCACCGGGGCCCGAGAGCCCTCTGACCCGGCAGGCGGTCCAACCCCAGCTGCCACCCCCCACGTAGCCCCCACTGCGGCCGCGTGCGAGCCCCGCTCCTTGCGTCCGGCGGAGTCGGTGCCCAGCGGTCAGTATCCCTCCGCCGGGGTCGTCACCCCTGGGTCCGCGCGTGTGCCTCCCCTCGGGTGAGGGCGGGGGGCGAGAGTAGAGGGCGGAGCCGGTGGCGGAGTGAGGCTCTGCCGGTGGCAGGGCCGAAGACCCTGCCAGGCCACCACGATAACACCGGCCCTGCGCCTTTAAGAGGGGGCTGGGCTCCCGGTGACCCCGCGTGATGTCCGCCTCTTCCTGGTTGCTATAGATACCGCTTTCCAGCGTCCAAAAATGGCGTCGATGCTAAGAGAGGAAGTGCTCGGGACGCGCGGACAGGCCCCAGTCCTCTCATCAAGTCGTTCGTCATCTGTATTGGGCTGGTGGGGAGCGTTCTCTGCCCCGCCGGTCTCCTCACCTTATGGTTGCCGCTTCTTCTCTACCCGGGAAGGAAGAAAGGAAGTAGGGACCTGTCACCGGCTATTGAGGCAGTAGTGGCTTTAGTAAGGGCCTGTCCTGGGGGAAGGACTGGCGAGGAGCAAAGGGGCTCGTAGCGCCATGCTGGGGGAAGGCGGGATCGCTTCTCAGTGCCACCAGATAGCGACCCGGGAGGCGTAATCAGTGAGTGCTGCTGATTCGGCCTGTCCAGGGTTGAGAACGCCTTGTTGCTGCCTTGTGATGAGGTGGTGGTAAGTACCTGGGAAGAGTAAGGGCTTGCTACCGAAAAGGTTTTTTCCTAGCATAGGTGAAAGTGTGTGTGGGCTAGGAGGTTCTCTGTGGGGGGGGATTCCTTCTACCTAGAGTATCCCAAGCCTGTGGGAAGGGGCTCTGGGTGAGGACCAGAGGAAGGGGAGGGGAGGAAGATCCATCAAAATGGTGAGTTTGTAGTCTTGCAGAGAAGTATATATACATCTGTGATTTTGTAATCTTAATGCAAATTTAAGTCTAGTCTCAGAAATACCTCATAAATAAATGAGTTACAAACATTTAAAGTAAATATAAGTAACAAATCCGTAAGTAACAACGCAGTATTTCTCATAAGGAAAGACAAGTTTAGCTGCACTTTCAGAGTAACTAGACTTAAGGCAGGGGGAAACAATAGCCAAACATCTCATTCAAGAAAAATAAAATTAAACTGCCTAACTGGGAAGACTGTGTATATCTTCCATAAGGTACCTGAAGATGTTTAGGTGACCTGCCTTTTGCCTGTGTAGATGACTGGTTTTCCAGTCAATGAAAGAAACACTGCTTAGACATCCTGGAAGAAAGGGGATTTTTTTAAACTTTTTAAAAATATTTTGCAAAATTGCTGTATGGAATGTTTAACAGTAAATGAATGAATTTTAACAAATCTGATTATGAGTTATGAAATAATAATGAAAATCATTTTTATTTCAACCTATTTTTGACTGGGTTAACTATATGTGTAAGATACAAAATTAAAAGAAATTTCCAATAAAGTTTTTAAAATATCTCACTGGAACAAAAAAAAAGTCCACATTTTGAAACTAGAGGAAAGGTTTGGTTTTGTTTTCCAAGAGTAAACCAAAATAGTGAACATATTTTCTTCTAGAGGTGGGAGAATTGTCAAGTTTGTAATTGAGAAATTAGAGGGAGGGAAAGCTGATAACCTGAAGTTCAGCTGCAATTCCGAATGATCTATGCTCTGTATGTTATATGCTCCTTCTTTTGTCTGCCTGGTGCCAAGACTTTACTTTTTAAATCACCAGTTCCCAAAGGAGTTTTGGTTTCATTTTTCCTCAGTATCTTTTTTTTTAAGGTAGAACCACATTCCACCAAAGCTGCGAGTAATTGCAGTGCTGCACAGTAGCTGAGGAATACATGCTTTTCTGTAGCTGAAGTCTTGTAATGGGCCTGTCCCATTAGCTTTTTCCCCTGCGTACTAGGGAACTGGCATTTATATTCCATCATGTAGCCTGATACGTTAGCGATGTTGTCCAGAAAGTGTTTCAAAGTCTGATACTGCCTCAAGATCAGTACAGTAGGCCCAAGCTATTGTATATTATTGTCGTGGTTTAAACCCAGTCAGCCATAAATCAGCCACAGTTTCTCTCTCACTCCCCCCCTTCTTGCCCTCCACCTACTCCCGGAGGGATGGGGAAGAGAATCTAGAAGAATGTAACTCCCACAGGTTGAGATAGGAACAGTCCAGTAACTAAGGTATAACACAAATCACTACTGCTACCACCATTAATAATGATAAAGGAAATAACAAGGGAAGAGAATACAACACCTCACCACCCGCTGACCGGTAACTTGCTCCACCCTGCCCGACCAAGCACCAACCGATACCTAGTCCAACCTCACAGTACACAACCCTTGCGGGTAATTCTCAGTTACATCCTGGGCATGACGTGCTGTGGTATGGAATACTTCTTTGGTCAGTTTGGGTCAGGTGTCCTATCTCTGCTTCCTCCCGGCTTCCCCTCCTCCCTGGCAGAGCATGAGGCTCACAAAGTCCTTGATCAGACTAAACATTTGAGCAGTAACTAAAAACATCAGTGTTATCAGCTCTGTTCCCAGGCCAAAAATCAAAACTACAGCACTACACCAGCTACTAAGGAGAAAAATGACTGCTGCTGCTGAACCCAAGACAATTATACAACTTAAAATTAATTGGAATTGCCAAAAAGTGAAACAAGGGACATTTCTGAGAGCAGAGTTAAGCATACACTAGGAAGTTTGAAGCTAACTATGGCTCAAAGAGGACAAGACAGAAAAAAAAGAGTATCCACAGTGTGATCACACAGGAGCACACATCCTCAGCTGTAAGCATGTGAATTATTTTATTACTACATTAATGAATTGGAAAACATTTATTGCTTTCAATATTGTCAGTTGTGATAATAGCAAGGTGTACTTAAGCATGCTTGCTTGTATTTAACTTCAATCTACAGAAACCAGGACACCTGGAAAAAGGAAGCAGGGCCTGCTGTGGGCAAGCAAGGTATTGAAAGGAGACAAAAGCAGAGGCTACTTTGAGCATTTCTAACCAACCAAATACAACGGGGCGGGGAAGAGTTAGAAAGACACCCACTTGTCTGTGTGGGTGTATTTGTGTCCAAAATGGGACAGGGAGACCCTGATGGTCACTTCCTGTTTTGCAGGGAAGGACAGCTTCTATCCCAACTACAAATTCAATTTCCATTATATTTCAAAATTAGAGCCATTAATCAGGGCTCCATAAACAATGGTATTGACTACTCAGTAGCAAACATGCAATTCCTTTGAAAAGTTAGGGAGGGAAGATTAACAACTATTTCCTACATAAGCTACTTCAAGAAGGAAGCATAAGCAGAATGTGAGAGACATGTAACTCATTGCAAATAACTCTTCTAAAAGTAGAGGTACAGATGCATAACTGAATATTCACAGAATACAGTTCAACCAGTTGGATTGTGTAGAAGGAGAGATCTTCTGAACCATCAGTGAATTACTGCAATGAGAACTTTACAAATGCAGGGAAACTATCCCACATATTTCCCTTGTGTGGACATTTACCAGTCCCAATGCAGAAAAGGAAAATTGAAAGAGATGACTTCAGGTCATCAAAGTCTAGTCCCCGCTGTTTTTTCCTGCCACATAATAGATCTTCATATGATGTATGGGACTTGATGTCTTTCAAAGGTAGTGAGGCTTTTTTTTGGGTGCTACTTAATGCAGAGCAACTGCTCCAGATCATCATTTCTCTGATGGTTAGAAATGCAGTTATACAGGCTAATTTACAGCTTATTTGTGTGTGAATATCTTGTAGCTTGAATACTGCCTTCTGTGTATGTAACAATGTTCTATATGTTTGTATATGTATGTATGTGTAGAATGTTACATATTTAATAAATATGTCCTCTTGATAGGGTTTGTTTTGTTTTTTCTGTCTCCAGTTGAGAAACAGAGTCTCTGCTTCCTGGTCACTTTAGTATCTTTTTGCTGCATTTCGTCCTATTAGAATCTTTGTTCTTTATAATAATAAGTATTACAAGTGCCTTGTGCTATTGTTACTGCCTTGCATCTCCTGGAAAATTGTGTGATTTATATTTTAGGTTTATATTTAACTGTTTCTACCAAAATCACATTAGTGAACTTGATCACCCTCTGGTAAGTTACTATTCCAATGTCTTTCTACTCTGTCAACTTTCAATTTATAGCTTTTTGGTTTATGACAGAAATTATTTCTAAATGAATTACTTTGCCCCTTGTACTTTTCAATTTCTCTTTTTTCCTTTTTCAATTTTTCTTTCTTTTTTCAACTTTTCTTTCTTTTTTCAATTTTTCTTTTTTTTCTCTCTCTCTTCAGGAGTGCTTTCAGTTGTTATAAAGGAGAAGTTAGTGTACATGTCAAGATAATCATACTAAGTAGAAAAACATGCTGTCGTGGTTTAAAACCAGCCAGACAGCTCGTTCACTCACTTCCCCCCCTTCTTGCCCTCCCCCTACTCCCAGAGGGACGGAGAGGAGAATCGAAAAGAATGCAACTCCCCTGGGTTGAGATAAGAACAGTTTCGTAACTAAGGTATAACACAAATCACTACTGCTACCACCAATAATAATAATGATAAAGGAAATAACAAGGGAAGAGAATACAGCATCTCACCAGCAGCTGACCCATAACTTGCCCCCCCAGCCTGACCAAGCACTGACCGATACCTCCTCCAGCCCTCCAGTCCTAGCCCTTCCAGCTAACTCCCAGTTACATCCTGGGCATGACGTGCTGTGGTATGGAATACCTCTTTGGTCAGTTTGGGTCAGGTGTCCTGTCTCTGCTTCCTCCCAGCTTCCCCTCCTCCCTGGCAGAACATGAGGCTCACAAAGTCCTTGGCCAAACCAAAACATCAGTGTTATCAGCTCTGTTCCCAGGCCGAAAGTCAAGACACAGCACTGCACCAGCTACCAAGAAAGAGAAAAATGACTGCTACAGCTGAACCCAGGACACACGCTTGGCATAAAATGTTTGCTAGGAATCCTGTTAAAATTCATGGAAACAATGGATAGTATTGTTTTGTGTGACTGCATCTAATATTACATAGAATGGGAGAACATTTGTGTCTCAACACTGACATCAAGGATGGCAACTTGTTTAAGATATGCATTTACCTTGCTCTGCACATGTTTTTAAAGCACTCTTGAAATACTAAATTAGTGTTTGATGTGCCAAGTATAATTTGGTGAGCTTTGTCACAGCAGCAGTAGGCATTATCTGTTTGTACAAAGTAAGCAATAAATCATATGGTTTCCAACAGTAAATATAAGATTACTTGAGATAGCCACACAAATAACCTTGCAAAATAATTTTTTTTTATAAATTGTGTAACAAACAATAAGTACAGGTTTTGAAAAGTACAAGGGAGGAATCCAGATGGTGGGGTAGTGTAGAAAATGTCAGTTGCTCATTTTGGTCAAACAAGGAATATAGACACACACCACAACCCCCTCCAAAAAAAAGGTCTGGTGCTTAATCTGGGTATAGGATAGGCTGATAACTAGAAAGAGGAGGCTGGTAACAAAAGAATATAATGGGAAAATGATCTACTCAACGTGTAATTAATACTAGCATCTGTCACCATTTAATGAATGCTGCACTAATCAGAGGATTTTGTCATGCTAGTAAAATGTTTAGCTACTTATCCGTAAAAAGCAGGCATCATATGTATACAAAACTCATGCTGTTCTGTGCAATATTCCATGTGTGATCTGTTCATATAACAAGACAACTGAATTTTATCAAATACATAACTGCAGAATCGCATGTTTAGTCAGAGATTGGCAACTAGATCCTCTTAACAAATATAGCAGGACATCTAGATGAACAAATAGTGTAACTAGGCAAACAGTTCTGATGACTGTTCTTGTTCTTTACACATCACTGTTCCTATTGTTTAGTGTACACTTCTACATCTTCAATCAGCTTTTGATTAAATCGATTTATACTGGTTACAGGGTATTATTTTGAATACTGAGAACTACAGTATTTTCTTAGAAGATCCTGTAGTTGTTTTAATTGTTTTAATTTCAAAAATTAATTAATTAAAAATTACAAAAAAAAGGCAAACCTGCCTTTTCAATAAACTACCAAATTCCATGTCAGATCACTATAAACCCTAAATAATTAAAAAAAAAAAACCCCTTAGTTTCAATAAAATTTCAATTTTAGGAGACGATAATAAGTTACCGTTTTATTATTTGTGAGCTGGTTGGTTTTCAGTTGTGAGTACCTTCAGGCTCTACTGAAACCTGCAAGGATAGTTGCTCCATTTTGAAAAATGGTATTATACATTTAACTAAGTATTACCTTTGTATCTTGGGCTTGTTTTCAAGTCTTAATAATGACACTTGATATATAACCTATTTGATTGACAGAAGATGCCATTTGAAGTGCTTAAGCCAGATGGATGGGGGGAGGGGAAATTAACAGATATTATAGTAATTAAGCTGAAATTAACTTCATGTTTTAAGAAACAATTTTTTGCAAAAGAAGTCCGATTTTAAGTAAAGATCTGTGGGAGATGAACCTTTTCCAAAGTCATACACTTTTATTTGCATTTGAAACCTGAAGGATGCCGTAACAGTTATTGCCTAGCTGGACCAATTCTTTTCAAGTCTCTTCTTTGACATGTCAAAAGGTTTGAGTTCTGAACAAACAAGAGTGTAGAAATTTCACTATCAGGGGTTTAAAAATGATAGTTTTGTTGTGAGCTATTTGTATAAAGGACTTTAATTGCATAAAACTAGCAACTTTTTGTTGTCTTAAATTAATATCATTTTAAGCATAGATTGATTACTTCAGGAGAAGGAAGCCTTTTTGTTCCAGCTCAAGAAATTATCTATGCTGAAAAAGTGTATTTCCAAAATAACTGAACACTTTCATGGTAGTGATATCGCACAGTATTAAGCAATTATTATCATGAGAATGTTTGTTAAGCCTAAAAAAAACAGAGAAATCTCCTTTGCTTTTTTGCTGTCTTTAGTTCAGATATATAAATAAACAATAGGCCTGCTTGGAAAATGGAAACATTTTCTCTGGGGAAATAATGCTGTATTGGAAAAACATGAATATTATTGTCAAGTGTTTCTGTGCAAAGCTAAAATATGTTGGTTTAGCAATGTTGTGATACTGTGTCATAGTCTGAATGCGTGATAGTGTATCTCACTTCTTCCATAATGCACCACCGCTGGATGTATGCAGTTGCTAGATCTTATTTATACATAAGGTTTTGGGGAAGATTTGTTCATGCTGCAATTTTGAAGTTGTAATCCAGAACAAGAACCCAATTGACAGAGGAAAATTTGGACTTTTAGAAACTGAAGTACAATTTTTTATGTGTTGTAGTAGCAATGTTGGCATTTCAGGGCCTTCATTATTGGTGGATCAAGGTTTCCCTACAGAAGACATCAGATAAAGCAATGTAAGTGGTTGGGTTTTTTCTTCCCCAGAGAATTCTCTTGGGTTTTGGGTTGCAGGATTGTTTGGGTTTTTTTCCTTATAAACATTACTAAGTGCTTAACCCTGTGAAAAATTCATTTATTGAATTTGAATTTAGAGATATAATTTATATTGATCCCTTAAGTGGTTATTACTTGTGAGGTTCAGTACATACAGGCTTATAAATTTCATTTTTCAATAGTGGTTGAGCTGTTACTTAAAGATGCAATGGAGTATTTTCATATAAATTTCAACTGAGGTATGTTAAAGATAATTTTAGGTAAGTCTCTGTTACCATTATTTGCTATTATTTCTGTATCACTGGTAGCCTACAGATAATTTTTTCTTTTGTTTAGGTTCGTTTTTGTTTACTTATAACCATCTTTAGTATACATACAACAGTATCACACTGAATTGTAATGTTTAATCTCCCATTTAAGTTTTATGGATGGCTTTATTATTTGTGGCTTTCTTCAAAGGTGTCATGCTCAATCTAGTTCTACATGGCAAGAATGCTTTTCAGGTCATGAAGGTGTAATAGTTTATCAAGGTAAGCAATCACCACTATCTTCTGCTTAATGAAGTAGATGTTTTGTACTATACCTGAGTACGTTCATTATTGTCATAGAAAGATTTAGTTATATTCTCTACTTACCTTATTTTAGGTAGTACATCCCTTATCCCTGTTGCTCTTTGTCTTGGGAAACCTCAGGAATAATTCTATTTTTGTGTTACCAAAACTATGTTTATGTTTCTGTCTGGTGTCTTGTTTCCAGTCTTCCTGCTTCAATTTAGGAAAATAATTATGTCATGTTTTCTATTGCCTTTATTAACCAAGAGCAATTTTCCTTATTTCATTTTTGGCATACCCAGCAGCATTTATC